GCTATTTGTTTGACACCTGAAGAAGGCTCCACAGCCGAAACGTTGTGCTTTTCATCTCTTTTCAGCATGGAATAAAACTTTACTTGTACTTGTTCTGTGAATGTTGGTATCCCAACTGCAATAACCTGTAAAAAATACTGTCATGCCGCCTTCATTAACTTCAAAATGACAAAATAAAGTATCAGAGTGCAAAATGGAGAAATAGCACAGCACCCAAATCGGACAAATAAGCATCTAGCCTTGAGCTTTACACCCAGTAATTTAATACAGAAGGTAGTGATTCAGTTTTGTTTGGTCTAGATGCTCCTTCCTCTTCTTTGCATTCCTATAGGCATGCTATGCGACTGTGGGTGGCGTTGCTTCACAATTCCCCCTCAGTGAAACGACCAGCAATACGTCTGCATTATGCTGAAGTTGAGATGGTTCCTAAATGTGGTTAACGTGGCTTTTCTTGGTTTGTCCAAGACGTCTTTGGGCATATTAAACATGAATAGAGTAAAACAAAATACAAGAGATCCACATACAGCCTAGCACCTACAAATCAATGGTTACAGGCAAGAGTGTTCGTTGTTGAATCTAGTTAGAAAGGACATACTTTGAGGGTAAATGTCTCATTGTTTTAATAAGTGTCCAACTGGGCAGCTAAATCTACACTAACCACATTTCCTCCTGCAGTGTTTATGTACAGTACATCCTGGGTCTGTCGCCTGTTCCCACTGTAGTCAATGATGCTATGTACACTGGCACAAGTCTTATTTTAACAAACCATTCGCCATACAGTACATTGTCCCAGCTGCCCACTAGCCCCTCCCAAAGTCCTAGGATATTTGTAGGGGTGCTGGATAGCCCAAATGCTATTTGTTTCCATGCTATTATTCAAAATTGAAGTGGGTGTCCAGATGATGAATTGGGGCTCTTCCTACTGAAACCAAAACGCTCCAAAATATTATTTTAATATAAGAGCGCTGAAAACAAAACAAGACGTTTATTGCTTCTGAAGCTTAAGTTTGCTGCCTTTCATTAAAAAAAAAAAATAAAACTGCAAGATTTGGCCTATCTTCTTTTCCAATCGTATTCTTTCCAAAAAACACAACAGCGGCTGCTGCTGTCAGGGCTAAGCGCGATTTGGCCAGATGCTTCAGTGTAAAAGTTCAGCTTGCTCCTAGGAGGGAAATATAAAATGTTCATTACTGGAACTGCGGTTGACATGACCGGTAACACCAACAGTACTTGACAAAGAAACTGGGCCGGTATGCTCTGCCAAGTCCCTGTGCCCCTCGTTAGTCCTGGGGAAGTGTGAAGCTATTTTTATGAGCTTGCTAGCCCAGTTTGCATGTTTTCCGAGGGTGAGGCAGCCGCCACATATTTTTCTACTCCAGTATCTCCAACAAACATTTTTTCTGAAGTCCAGACTGTACAATCCAGCCCACTGACACTGGGAAAAGTGACAGGAAAAAGATTACAAAATGGCACTGCTTTTAGGGGTTGAGGGGAGGCTAACCCAGTCTATCAGTTTGTCACATCACTCATCATGTTTCAAACACAGGGGGGGAAGAAACTTATCTTTAGCATAATACATGTTTAAAATAGCCCATTTTCAGACAAGATCAAGTCCTTTGATAATAAATCTGGTCTTTCTCAAAAAAAGATACTAACAAGCTAAGAGTCTCATTTTTCACCTTATTTTTAGATGTCTTTTTTTTGCATTTTGCCAAAAACTTTTAATGCCATATCGAGTTTTGACAAAGGAAAAGCTGATACCCAACAGAAAACAGGAAAGCACATTTTAAATTAATGAGAGGGATACATATTCACAGAACTTATAAACTGAAAATTGGTAGGCTGATATTTAACACAGGTTAAGACTCATGCATGTTGTCCTGCTGCCGACTAATTATAAAAGGACTATTTTCCTTTTCTTTCCACAGCTTATACAAAATATACAAATCTTTCTTTTATTCACTGTGAGTATTTTGTATAGACAGCTTCCATTTAATTTTTTCTAAAATGATAACACTAGGTGTTAAACGAGATCAGTTTTTTTTTTAAAAAAAGAATATCATAACAGAAGTATGGCTTTTTACTCTTCCTGCAGTTTCTGCTTTCAAAAGAGTTGAAATTTTATATGATTCTGATAAAGCGGTTTGGGTATTAATGTAAGACTACATATTTCAAGACTGGGATTTTAGCCAATGTGGAAGCCTGCAAAGGGAACAGGGTACAACAGAGGAACTGAGACCTTGTGAACATTAGGATCCAGAAAAGACAGCTGCAACAAGGGATCAGTGTAACTACACAAGCATACCCAGATTGTAAGCGTGCCGGTCCATCAGCATGTCTCAATGCAGGTACTGTTTAGCACACTGTTGCACTTTTTCACAGGTGTGAGAACAGAAGACCCACATGTGGACTACAGGGTAGAGTGTATTGCACTGTAGAGGAAGGATCACAAGCTTTCACACAGGTTTAGGGCTAGAAAAACTGAATTATAGCCTACTCTTCACCTGTGCAAACATTCCATAGTACTGTAATCTGTTCTTCAACCACAGTCAGTCGCTCTTTCTGCTGAAAGTTTTACAGATCAATCACCACAATAGCTATTTTCCCTAGACTTTTCTTTGAATACAGGCATGTAAAAAAAAAATCTTGCGATTTGAGCAAGAGGCCCAAAAGCGCTGTCAGGGCTTGTCCAGAATGTAACAGACCCTGCTTCATCCCATCAGCGGTCAGATAATCCTGCGTTAATAGCAGCCGAACAAAAAGAGCCTTTTCTTCCTTGAGATCTGCCCTCTGTTTGACCTGCAGTGTTGTGCAACTTGAACCAGAAATAAAAGGAATCTTAATGCAATCTCATTGGCAGGTTTTCCCAAAAAGAAACATGGATTGTGACCCTAATGCTGATATTTATAAAGAATGATTAAAAGGCAGGCCAGGATCCAAACCTGACTTAATGAATAGCACCTAATACTTTTCCAGGACCAGTCTGGAGCACTAAGGCTGCCTAATTATATAGCTACAGGTTCCTCATAATAGATCATTTGGGTACTGTCAGTTTTATTCATTGTTCATATAGGTGGAGATTTGCTCTGAACAAATGAGCAAAAAGCTTATCTTTTGTTATAAAGTTTTAGAGAGGTCTAACAGGGGTGTTCAGTGCATTTTGGGGACAATTTAAAGCAACATAGCAACGTTTAAACAGTGCATACTGTATACCGTGTAGTATGCCACATTAAAGATATAATACAGAATTTAAACTGTGGCAAAGCAGCCAGTAAATCTTGATACAGCCTCCCTTCAGTCGTATGAAATTTAAGTATACGGTACAGAAGTACAGAAGAGTGACCAGTGACTGTTTACTTCAGTCAACCGAGAGCAGACTACATACCGCAGTTTGTACCCGGTTTAAAATTGCTCTGTGCAGCGTTCCGTCTTTCCGTGCGATACCTGCAGTTATGGCGAGTTGCATCTGCGCTAATAACAAGATATTCCCTTGTATGAAGGGAAACAATTGGTTTCTCGCATTAAACTTATCACAAATGATCTACTACATCACAAATGTAGTCGTTATTCTCATGTAGCGAAACCAGAAAGCATCCTTTCAGCTATTTTCTGAAAAGCTGTTCTAAGGGGAATTTTAAAAGAGCGGCGCTCTTTTCCAAGTGCACGTCAAGGGGCTTAAGCCCACTGCGTTTAATTTGCGAGAAAACGGCTACTGAAGGCGTCTATTAGTATGCAGTTGTGCTCAGACCTTCATATAAAAGTGTCACAGAAAACGTTTCTCAGTCTATCCGCGCTACAAGCGGTGGGATTCTCACAGGAGTCCCGCTCACGAGTTGCATAATAATAACACGAGTTTTAAGGTTAAAGTCCGATTCTGTTTTATACACGACTTCACGACAGAGACGCACAGACGCTTTCAGCAGAAAAATAACGAGTTAAAGTGCGTTGCGTTTTGGTGAAGTTCCTTATGTTTCAGGTCATCTCCTCCGTGAAACCAAAACTGCGGTCATGCCTGTCCCTTTAATGAAACTGAATGCATTTGATAAAAAGCATCAGCTTTTGCAAGAGAGCATGTTAATTGGCGTAAACCCAGGAAAACGTTTTTTGAACGTTGCCTTCCTGCAGAACCCAAGTGTGTAAACATGCATTGCTATGGGGAAACTTTACCTGCAGCATCTCAAACTTCTTGCACAGTATTATCTTTTAACAAGAAATTCAAGTGAGGTTCTTTTCCGATTTTCTGTCTTAGGCGCTTCTACCTCAAAACTACTAATGTAGCGATTAAGGGGATGATTTGTTTTTAATGTAACCATTGTTTAAAGCGCGCATGGAATAGCGACAACATCCTTTTATTATCAGTTTTGATTTCCCCAATTCTTAGGTTAGGAGGCTTTTCCCTGGCAAGTTGAAATTCTGTTGGTAGGCATGTATTTCAGTGCAAAACCATCAGTCGGGTCACAGCTAAAGGAAGAGTTTACAATTCCTACCTGCTTGTATAACCCTTTACGAAAATAAACCAAAGGACACCGTAGAATTATCCCGTCTCTGAAACTGAAACGTACATTTCTACAACCCACCTATGGGTTATTTTCGTCAGGGACAGCAGCGGGCTAACTTACCTAGGCTCCCGTTCAATTCCATGCAAATTCCCAACAATCAATGGGTTTTAGGTCACGTCATAATTAGCTACATTACAAGAGGGCTGACAAGGTTCGCGTTGTAGCGTGGCCTATATGATGATAGACGATTCCCTAATGATGCCAATTGAACATCGAACCATCGCCAGCTACTCGTCCAGCTTTTCCAATTCGCAGTTTACGTCATTTCCCCTAAAGCACATTAAAATACATTAAAAATACGGCAACTCCAGTGCACTGAAGTTTTTTTTTCTTTCTGCTCAGAAGAATTGAAATACAAGGCTTTCTCTCTGCTGAATTATTTTACTATTTAACCATGTATTATGTAAGTGGGTTAAACAAGCGTCGTCCTACTGCATTTACCTTCTTGGCCCCCTGCTTCGCAAACTCCTTAGCCAGGTGACGGCCGATGCCTCGTCCCCCGCCGGTGATCAGCACCACCTCTCCGCTCAGATCTCTGAGTCTGGTCGGCAGGATCACAGACAGGCTTGCCTTTATTATAAAGTACACCATCTGGATTGGGAAGAGTATTGCGGATCCCAAAGCCTTCCAATCCATTTTCCCCCCCCTTTCGGTCGCGGGTAAACAGTGAGGTCGGGGAGAAGATGGGGAGCTCCTCAAAAAAATAAAAATAAACGGAAAGGAGCCCCGATTTCAGCAAGTTTAAACGAGGCAGCTGCTGGCTATAAAACTCGCTCTCCCCCGTGCACAGGCGCTTGCGTCTTCTATTATTTTAAATGGCACAGAAGGGATTTCATCACAAAGCCGCGAAGTTTAGTTTTCAAGCGATGTTAAAGCCTTAAAAAAATCGATTTTATCTTCAGAATCGAACTCATTGGAGCAGCCGCGAGAAATCCATTGCTGCGCTTGAGAGTCGCTTCCAAACTCAGCGAGTGACATAAACTTTGCCCCGTGTCAAGTTAAGGCAAACTCGGCTGCCCGGTGTCACTTTGGTTACGCACCAACGTAGGCTATCGCCTTTCGTTTAAGCATGTGTGCCCACAATCTCAAGCAATTAAAAACCGACCGTCAATATACTGGTCATATATGTTATTTTAAAATAATATGCAAAAATAGCGAACGTCCCTGGTATTCGCGCTGCGTAGGAGCTCAGCTGTGGCTGAAAGCGATGCCGGGTGCAGGGTGTTTATCCTGAAGACATTATCACCACTCACTAGGTTGCTACTCAGTAGTCCTTTTCCATTCCCTCAGTGTCTGGAAGACTTGGATCTGATGGGAGTTTTTATAGACCATTAATCCTGATTGACAGTTTAAGTGTTCGGGAATATTTCACTACTGTGTTGTCTGTGAGTGGCTGTTTAAGTCTCTCCGTTTCCCCACCCCCAAAAGCGAAGCAGCTACTCGTATTTAAGTGCAGGCACCCCTTACTTCGGGTGCTAGAGTTCAGTGATGAATATTTTTAAGGCTCTGCGGGTTGGCCACCTCGAAGTAAAATCACCCCCCACCTTATTTGAAATAACTCTCACGACGAAATTGCAGCGTTTCTGACAAATGCTTGGCAATATCCCTTTCGTGAAATACCAGCGCTGAGCGAGTCACTTCGTCTGAAGGAGAGAAAAAAAAAACAGTAGCTGCAAAAGTCCACCTATGACTGATACCTGCAAGTTGCACGTTAGCCAAGTGGATCTCTTGCAGTGCGAGATGTGCTTCCTCTCCCAGCAACCGGAGGTTGCTGTCGTGTCAAAATCCGCCAGCAGAATCCGGTGAACACGCGTCCAGACTTGATGAAGGGGAGTGATTTTATTATTTCCTTGTCAACGTGCGCTTTGAATGCGTGTTCCCTTTAAACTGGTATTGATTTATAATGAGACGCGGTGCAGGTTGCGGTCAGTTGCCAGACTTATCTCAGCGATTGGAAAAAAAGGAGTCTTCAGTTTTTATTTCTACAAAATACTGTTCTTATGTTCAACTCTCATCGTTAAAAAATAATTGCTAAAATAACAATTTCAGATATATTCTTACCTTTTGCCTCTTCATTTTATAAAATACCTCAATGTTTTACAACGGTATACACACATTTTATTCAACTTGATGTACAGTTTATAGAAATACCACCCTCGCTGTCAAAACATTCACTCCGTTAACAAATTCTGAAAACACCCAACAACAAGCCCACAATAACAATTTTCTCTCCAGGAAATTAAATGAATTAGTTTAAACTCCTTTTAATTGGTCCTTCAATGAAACTGAAATAGTGGGTGGGCACTTAGGGAAAGTCAAGATTTCCACACCGGGCTAATCCATTGCACATGTGTCCCATAACCCTAAAAACGGTTATGAGGCATAGGAGGTCAGCCAGCCTATATAGCTCATTTTGTTGCTAGTAGCTAATTGATTCAAGGATACCGTACTGCCATTTCTAAAACGTACTTGAGGTATCAGCTTCAATATTCTGTCTCGGTAGGTTGTTCCAGAATCCAACAAACCCTTTCTGCCTTTTGTTCCAACAAACCATTTTCCGTCCTGCTTTATCCAATTGAGGACAGCGGGGGTGCCAGACCCTAACCCAGCAAGCAACGGCTACCAGACAGGAAAGTCCCTGGACAGGATGCAAGTCCATCACAGGGCATCCACTTTTACAGAAGTAGTACATTAGCCTCCCAGTACTGTTTTCAGACTGTGGGAGAAAACCAGAGCAAGCGCACACAAACTCAGAAAGAACATACAAACTCCACACAGACAGCACCCCAGCTCTGGAATTGAACCCAGAGCCCCAGCTCTGCAAGGCAGCCATGCTAACCACTGCATCATTGTGCCGCCCATACCTCCTGGTCTCAGTTAGAAAATCATTTCCCTGTAGTTTCCATTCGTTCCCTGTGGTTCATGTTTCACAGTTGTTTCCTAAAAAGTCCAGTGTTTGCAGATTTACTTTTATTACAAAAAAATCCCCAAACTGTGGCCAGCTGTATCTTAGTGTATGAAGTGGCTGTGTAGTTTATAATTTTCCTTTAATGTTTCCTTGCTTTATGTGAACCTTTTAAACTTGATAGCATTAAAATTACGACTGGTGTAATACTGCCGAATAACATCAGACCAGTTTTACTAGAACGCTCACAAGCCGCGAGAATCCTAGAGTTTATGTTTATTCATGTTGTTTAACCAGGATAGGAGATTTCAACAGACTTCCAGAGTGTTTACAACACACTTCAAAGTTGTCATTCAAACCTGCTCATTCATCTAGTTACCAGTAGGTGGCTACTTTCCAGATGTTTGACTTTTTCTTCTTTCACCCCACAACCAGATGTCATTCATGTTCTCAAATGTACAATATCTTTATAATGTTTGTGAACTGCTTTCCCTGAGATGGATTGGCTTTTCACCAAAAGTTCGAGCAAGCTGGCTCTTGGAAAATGTTTTCCTTTTTGCAGAATTACTGTTAACTGTAGTTGCTTCATGGAAATGGGAATCCATCCACCCATCCATCAATTTTCTAATCGATTCTCCTAATTCAAGTTTGCAGGGGAGTCGGTGCTTATCCCAGCAAGCAACAGGTACAAGACAGCCTACTCCCTGAATGGGGTGCCAGTCCATCGCAGGGCAGACATAGACACACACTCACAGAAGGGCCAATTTCACTCACACTAGGGATAGTTTTTACAGAAGTCAATTAACCTACCATGTTTTGGGACTGTGGGAGAAAAACGGAGCACATGGAGAAAACCCAGGTGAATACAAGGAGAACACACAAACCCCACACAGACAGCATTCCAGGAATTGAATCCAGGGTCCCAGCGCTGTGATACAGCGATTCGAACCAAGACATTTTAAAAGCAGCTTTTCATAAGTCCACCAAATGTGAAGATTTTAAATAATATTGTGGTTTACTGTAGTATCACAATGTAAAAAGGTGAAGCAATTTGAATGTTTCTTGAAGGTACATTGAATACCTGATAATACATCTTTTGTTGAGGCTCCTAGTACCACCAATGTCTATAAAGAAATTATAATAGTTTAAAAGGTGGGAGTGTGGTTGTCCGGTGAAATGATTGCAGAAGATCTATGAAAGGATGAGAAGAGTCTGCCTAAGAGTGTGCTTTCATAATTAATTTATCAATTAGCTGTCCTGTTGCCCAAGGCTAGTGAACACTGTCACACCACTGCTATTGTGTTTTGGCATATTGTTGGTTGTATTCTTGTTCACAGCAGATATAAATTACTCAGATAATTTTCATTCTTAGTTGCATGTCTGATATTTTCTTCCAGTTACTACCTTCATATAACCACAATGGGTTTTGCATTGATCATAAAGCTGGTAGATCAGTGCAACACAGCTCATCACTGAGCCACAGATGATCAGACATGCTCATACACACTCTGACAGCTTGCTACTACAAAATAGCACTACCCATTGTTTTCACAATCAGAAGCGAGCAGACACAGCATCAACGACTCTCCTCTCAATGCACTTGAGCAGCTGGAAACTGCAGCTGAACTCCAAGAGCTAGAGTTGAGTTACTTCAGCTTTCTGACAGTGAAAGAAATTAAGAAAGCCATATTGTTTTTTTCTTTAATGTCATTGCCACACATTTTCCATGAAATCTACGGTTTGTAAATTGTAAGATTTATGTACCAAGGTCACTTATAATTGTTAGTAAAGCCTTTTAACATGGAAGCCATGAATCTTCAATATCATTAGCCTCTCTAAAACCCTTTGATGTGACACTACTAAGATATATTTTGTAGCTAACTTCATATCCCCACTTAATGGGTGTGTCTCTGAAAAGTGATTAATGGACTTAGAAAATAATGATAATGTCTTTAAATTCACTTCCCAGCACATACATTTCTGCTGTCAGTTTCCAGTTTTGTGATCAGATGTGGAAGCCTAACTCTTATACGGACTGTGTTTTCCAGACTATCAAGTGTTTTCATATAGCATATAATGAAGATGTCTAGGGTTTGACCTGAGATTTGAATATCCCATCGGTTTCTATTTTTAATCTCATGACAATCCCTTGTTGAATTAATAATTAGTCCCTTAGTCATTAGTTAGACTCCATTACTGAACTTGCACTTCAGTTCAATCCCCAGGAATAATTTAGAAGTCGTGACAGATGGTTACATAAAGGTTACATCTGCTGCTGTGCTTGCAATTACTATTATGTTTGCAGTAGAAAATCTGACCAACAATGTTAAACTACTTGACTGTTTTGATGTGACACTGAAAGACGACAAAAGTAAGGTGTGTTTGTAAAGTGTTACATGTGGTGTTCCAGAACAGCCAGACATCTGTTTTAAAGTCTGTTCTTTTCTGTACAAAGATAAGGAAAAGACGTGGTGGTTTTAATGAATTCTTCGGTCATTAATCAAATCTTTTCCTTATTGCAAAGCAAATTCAAGACATAAACAAGTACATTTTATGAAAAACTACTAATTAAGCAAATATACTAATAGCAAAAGTGGAATTTGGAGGGGTTCAGCCTGAATAATTCAATGTTTAACAAAGGGAAAAAGGGAGTCAATCTATGCATCTGCTTTCCATAAAGAATTGCCATCACCACAGTTGTTCCAAAATGGGGGAAAAATGCAAAAGTAAACTGGAAATAAATGTCTTTAGACTTTACCAGCAGTGGTTTTCAGATGAAGAACTAATGGTGTTGCAAACCATTTTGGTTTTATTTGATTTTTGAACTCCCCCCTCATACAATATGTGGCAGTCAACAACAGCCAGAGTTAATCTGCCTCCACACTTCTTCATGTCTGGCCATTTCACCAGGTCAGGTTTCCTGCCTTGTCATTCCATCTGCAGTTTTGTTGAGTGGAAAGGCCGGGTGAGCTTTGCCAAAGTGACATTGTTTAGCCATGAAGCGAGCCCTGTAAAAAATATCTCTTAAATAAATAAATTCATAAGCTCTTGAGGAGGTTCCAGACTGTGATTTTTGGCCTAGCCCCCAAACAACTGTGTGCAAACCGCAGCAAGGCCTTTTCAGAAAATGTGATAGGTTACAAAAGCAGGTCTCACAATGGTTTTATTGTAGGGCTCCCCAGAATTACTGTGAGGTGGGGCAGAGAGGACTAAAGTTGACTTGCACTGGCAGAACCTGGCTCTTGTTGGCACCATCCTTCATTTTTTTCCTGGTCTGCCAGAGAAAATGTTTGAAGGTTACGTAAAGCAATACGATGTTGTTTCTAGTTTTGTGAATAAACCCGCTTCCATAACTTCACCTACTTAGGATAGGATAACAGGTTTTGAGTCTGAGATTCATTCTGAGTGGTTTCCCCTCATTAATTGTGTTATTAATTGTTAATTTACAGCTGTAAATTAGCACCTTAAGGCTGTCCATTAAAAAGTATATTTTATTCCTTTTTGTTGGCAAAAACAAAGGGATTATTACCCCTTTATAATACGCACAGGTTACATGTTATGACTCTGCAATTTAACACTTTTAATAATTCAACACTGACCTTTGAGTAGTGCACATTCACATAGATATTTGCATGAAAATATCAAATTCTGTTTTTTTCTTGTATGAGGTATTAGTGTCGGTAGAATGGCTGGTTACTGTTTGTGTATATGGGGGAGTTTTTCCTTTCAGTAAAGGGGGAATAGTTAATGTTAGAACGGAGCAGAAAAACCCGTATTGCCCAACTCAACGGCATGATTTATTAAGCTTTTCCTGTGTCATTCAACTCGCATAATCTTTGTGCTCCAAGGTTGGCATTTGTAAACGTGACACTGGCTGGGAAATGTAAAATCAGTAGTCCACATTGCCACCTACAGACTACTGAGAAAACTGTATCGTACAACAAGATCCTATGAAAAATCACTTCAACTAAGATTTTTCACGAATTCTTTTAGTTTTATTGTTCTACATAGATTTACTTAATCCGGATTTTGTATCATGGTGCCTATCCAATCAGTTACATAAATATTGGTATGCGTGTCTAACCTAGAACATTTTTAGGGCAAGCTAGAAAAATCAATGTTGAAAAAAATGTCATCAATAAAGGTAAACCAACGATATCTAACAGATCTAAATGATCTAAACGATTTCTTGATCGACAGTCTGTCCGTTAAAGACTGTTGCTTTACTGTAAAGCAACAAGCAGTAGTAACATGCTGAGTTACAATTAAAAGAGTTCCATGTTTTTCCTCTCTGCATATATAATTGCACATGGAAAAACTTCAGTAGAAACCATCTGAATTACCTGAATCACAGAACGGCAACGCTAAGCTTTTCTCTTTTAACACTTGGGTGTTGTTCATATTATTTCTCTCTGGTTTTACTGGTTTAGTTCAGTCTAATTTGCTTCATATTAAATCGCCTATAGTACCTGGTGTTCACCTTTTTTAAGCCCAGGCGCTCCTCGAGTCGTTTTTAAGTCTCTTAAATGTATTTATTTGTAAAGACCAAGTTCTACCACCGAGCTAATCTGCCAGTTTGCTTCTTTCACTTTTATTTGGACAGCGCAACCACTTTGCCATGCTATGAATATTCAAAAGGCTAGATAAGGTTTTGCGAGATAATTCAATCAGGTGTGGACTAGGGGGTGGGGGGTGACCATTCTTTGTACTTGTGTCGTGGGGCTGTAATGGAGTTGAGCACAGCGATTTTAATAATAGGCTTCGCTGCATTGTTTGCAGCTTTCCTTCTGCTTTTAATCGGACTTGTTTATTCTGAGTTAATGAACTCGGAAATCCCACCGGGAGTACCTAGCCAATGGAAACTACACTCAATTCATGGTTTGTTCGTTGGGATAGCGCTTGTGGTGAGTATTGCCGCTGAGCTTTTCAAGGACTAACAAAGTCAAAACCATTACTGTTATTTTTACATCACAAATTGTGTATTTTTTGGTTTATGTTACCTACATGGTTGTTACATTTCCTATGCACAGTCTTCCTGGCTAAATCCTGGCTATATTCGATCAAAATTGATCACAAGATACATTTATCAGTCTTCGCCAAGGGAGTCAACCAATGCTACAATGCTGCCACATTCTTGGGTAAATATAAGAATTGAGTCTAACTTGGCAGACACAGGACACAAGGCCAGATACACACTGTCCATCGGAGGTTACACACGTGTACAATTTAGAGACATCCTCTTTGGAAAAGAATATACATGGAGGGCATGCAAGCTACAAAAAATGCAATTGAACAATGCAAAGAAAGGGCGAACCACCACACCCTGTTTTGTTTCCCTCTAACAAGCACTTAAGGCTGAAAAATAAAGTTAAGACGGTGAATATTAATTTATAGTGGGCTAAGGCTGTGGATACAGAAGCTGTCAGGGACTCCAGTATACTGTATTTGTCCTTTTAGTCACCCCTGCTTTATGATACTAGATTCTGGTGTGCTCACATTTAGAGTAGGAGAACATAATGGGGCTCTTTCAGTCCTTGGACCTTTTATGGTCAGAAAATCCCCCAGAAAACTATTCATGTTAAATTTTCCTGCAATAGAAAGCTGGCCTGGTTGAATAATAGAGGTCACAAGTTTTTGGAGGAATCACTGGGTGACTCTGGGCTGGGAGATGCCTAAAAGATGATGACGTGTCACACACTTAGTGAACATGTGAACTAAAAAACCATAGCAATATACCAAAAACAGCAGCAGTGAAGGGACTAGCTCAGGCATCTCTTGCACTGGTCTGTTGCAGTTGGTCCCTCCAAATCACCTGTTTCTAACAATTACGGACATTGGTAAGTAATTGAACAATCAAGCACGTAATGAGCTCAGTTAAGAAAATTGTAGTCCTCAAGGGAAGACATTTTATGTTTCATGTAATTTCTTAATTACTTAATTTATCAAATCACTTCCTATCATCATAATTAATTAAATTGTTTAGAAATTGTTGATTTAATAAGTTTAAATTTTCTCTGGGGTTACTATACCACTAAATGCGACTGGACAGGGGCATTCCAGGAGCAGTGTTGCCACATTGTAGCTCAAAAACTGAGCAGGATGAGCCTTGGGTCAGGATTTGGTTGGAAGCCCTCAGAGAAAAAACAAACAGGTTGCTACTGCAAACTGTGTTGAGGGACCATGAGGTTGCACTAGCCAGAATTAACAATCTAGTTTCCCATTACAGTGACAGGAGACAGCAGGTCTAGCTGGTGTAGCAGGTGCTGTACTTCAGATAGATTCTTAAACCTGACACTGGTTCTAATAGTGGAGGCATTACCAATATATTGGTTAATTTCCATCTGTGCAAGACCTTGGCTCCCTAAAATTCCCCCTTAATTCAACTGATGATTCTGTAGGTGTCCACCTGATCTGGGGTGTACTGGTGCTACTGGCATATGGCTCCAGCAGTAGGTGAGGTGGGTTTCTCTTATCAGAACTTTAAATGTCTGGTTAGACAAACTCAAGGGGAACATCAGTTACTGGCCTCTAACACACACAATGCTTATTTACTGTATATTTGTCATGGAAACTCAATAATAATAACATCCCAATAGCACTGGCTTTTCTCTTTACCATAAAATCCAGGCAGCCCTGCAATGCAATGTGCACTTCTCCCTTGTCTTTTGTTCCCTCCAACAGGGACGGATCTTTGAAAGGCTGGGGCTATGCCACCAGGTAGTCTTCACACGCTGGGTCATAGCTCGCTTTTTAGCCCCGAAGAAGTCGGCGCCTCCGGGGCTCCTGATCAAGGACCTGGTGTTTGCGGAAGTGCCAGTCCGAGTATACCAGCCCACGGCCCCCTCGGCGGGCAAGCGAAGAGGCCTTGTCTACTTCCACGGAGGAGGCTGGGTGATGGGAAGCATTGGTAAGCTGCCCAGCTTATTATTCACAGTACCGTGCTCTGCTTATGCATGGAATGAGGGCCTTCCCATCTGTACCAGCCTTAGGATCCTCTAAGGTAGAGAATGTGATAATTGCTAGGGGTTATAATTACTGGTATTAGCAACAATCTGGAACAGCAGGAGCCCTACATGTCTGTCTTTTGAATAACATAGGAAGCATTAACAACAGGGACTAAAATAGAAAATGTCTTTAAGGATATACAGAATAATAAATGCAAGTCAAATAGATACAGACTGTTATTATACCTAAGGGTTGTTTTCTGATTCCTTGTTAAAGTCATAATGCTGCATTGAAAACACTGGAGTGCTTTAGTGTGCAATATATAACGATCAGATCCTCATTATTTTTCTTTGATGTCTTGTGGTCTGCACGATCTATAAGTGAAACATGTAAGATTGCTGCCAGGATTTTGCGCTAGTGTTGGTACTAGATGGATAAAATTAAAGTGCTACTATTGCTTCTGTGGAATGAATGCCCTTTCCCATCATTAGTGCACCTGTTTCAGAGGAAAGTCATATCAAAGGAAGTGATTCTTTAAGGCGTTTGGATGTTTGTCAAATTCCGTCTTTACATTTCCATAGATGTCTATGATGAGGTATGCAGATACATCGCCAAGGAATCTGAGACCACTGTGGTAAATGTTGAGTAAGTTTATGCTGACATTTCTATACCTGGAAGAAGTTTGTCTTCTAAAAGCCTTTTATAGGGTTAAACGTATTAAAACTATAAACAAAAAGGAAATATTTCTAATGGCCTTTATGAAATAAATATGTATAATGCATATTGTAAGACATCACACTGTTTGTCCTTTTCAAACACCATTAATTAGTTGAAAACTGATTATTTGGATATTTTTTACCGATCTGCTGTATCCTAATAAATTAGGAGATAATCTGTGCTCTGTGGTTTATCTCTCATTTGTGTCACTGTCACCTCACAGTGGTTGACATTAACAATCTGAGCTGGGAACAGCATTACTATAATGAGGTCTTGACATTCCTGCTGGTAGCTCTGTTCTATTTACAATGGGCTAGATAGATTTTTCAGTCTCCAGCAAGAGAAATTTGGGCCCCCAAATTTGTCAAAGGGCCTGGTATACCTTTTACTGTGTTTTAACAGTAAAATCCTGTGGGCTTGGCAGATCTGGTTTTGACAGCAAAAGGTCTAATTTGGCAGTGCTTCTAGGTGTCACATCCAGTTTTCATGAGAGAACACAGGCAATGCATTTACACTAAAATCTAAACAACAATTCATTAGCTCACTATAAATTTAGTTAAAAAGCAGATGTTAAATAAAAGAATGCCTAGTTCATTTTGCTTAGATATCTAAAGGCTTTAGAATTATTACCTGAAGTCCAGCTTGGCTCAGACTTTTGGACTTTCATAAATAAAGCACTATATTATCAGATCTGGTTTATAATAAAATATATTCCATGTGTTTATATGTTGTTTACTTTACCATAGAAAATGTGATTTTTAACAAGCTTGATCAGGTACTGTTTTGGAAAATGTTTGTAGTCTAAAGACACCAATCTCCTGAGACCTAAGGTCGTCGTTTTTCATTACATTAGTACTCTCTACCCCAAGAGCAGCGGGGCTTTTAACTATGTTCTCTTGAAGGTATCGGCTGGCTCCGGAGTACAGATACCCAGTGCAGCTGGACGATTGCCATGCGGCCACCAGTCACTTCCTTCGGGTGGCGGAAGCGGAATTTGGGGTGGATCCCTGCAGAGTGGCCGTCGGAGGGGACAGCGCCGGAGGGAACTTGGCAGCTGCTCTCTGCCAGCGGATGGCAGAAAAGGAGGATGGTTCTCTCACTGCTCCGTGTGCCCAGGTCTTGATCTATCCTGCCCTGCAGATGGCAGACTTCAACCTCCCCTCCTATCAGCAGAACCATGCTGTGCCTATTCTCTTCCGTGCCCGGGTGCCCTTCTATTTTATTCAGTACCTAAATGGTGACACATCTGTAATTCCAGATGTCTTAGAGGGAAACCATGTGCCTGCTGACCTCAAGCTAAAGTACCGAAAGTGGCTGTCCCCGGACAACCTCCCAGCAGAATGCAAAGCCCGTCGTTTTGTCCCTAAAGTGGTATCTTCTTATGATGGAGAAGTTTATGACGTAGTCAAGGGAGGCCTGGAGCCTGCGGTTTCCCCTTTACTGGCAGAAGATGCTATCGTCCGCAAGATGCCACCCATGTTTATTCTGACCTGCGAGTACGATGTGCTCAGGGATGATGGGATACTCTTCAAGAAGCGCCTGGAGGACCTGGGTGTGCCCGTCACCTGGCAGCATGTGTCAGATGGCTTCCATGGCATCATAAACTTAAGCAACGGCTGGCTGAGCTTCCCCTCATCACGGCTGGGCTTAGACAGCATCGTGAACTATGTGAAAACTCTTTGAATAGGGACTGCGAATGTTAATCATAACCTAGGTCCCATGCTGTAGAAACATCCAAAGTCCCTTTTTTTCAGTGAAAGTATTAACATTACAGCAATATAAGGTCTCTCTAGCTCCAGTCCTTAGGGATTGGGCATCTTGTAGGTTTTCTGTGTCTATCTAAGCTGATCTCCACCTGGGAAAAGTGCTAAATTGATCCAATTAAATATTAACTGGATTGTTTTCTCCCTTCTCCACAGCTCTTAACTGTTGCTGATTTATAGAGACATAGAAAACTTGCTGGATTTCAATCCCTGAAGAGCAGAACTAGAAGCTCCTGAACGAATGAGTTTTGTTACTTTAATGTTGAGATGCAATGCCAGCATGGGATCTTGTATTGTAATTACCTTATTATAGAACAAAAAAACAATTGCTGTAGAAAAATACAGGACAAAATCAGGACCAAGAAACAAAGAAATGAGTAAAGAATGATATTTTGCAGGATACAGAGCATGATATTTTTTGATTTGTAGAGATATGTAAAAGATTTTGTAACAGCACAAAACATTTTTTGAAGCACTGGAGCTGTCACTGAGCAAGTCAAATTGTGCACATTATGTCAATAAAGTGTAGGAAACCTATGCAATTTTTCTGCCATGTAAAAGCCTCAGTTTTCATCTGTATGGTTTTGCCTGAAAATGCTTTATGCTTTGAATACATGCTAAACTTCAGTTTATTCACCAGTGAGTGTATACCAGCAAAAAATAAAGCAATTGTGAAGGATTTACACCTTTTTCCTTTTCTATCCTGGAAGCTGTGGGCTTCCCTAATAATTAGGTGCATCTTTAAAATAACTAAATAAATAATTTGCTTTCTATTGTTTCTATCATCTGTTCTAATGGAAGTGTTGCTTTCGAGTGTTTCAGTTGTGAAAGGCCCCCTTGACTGAGAAACTACAAAAAACGCCAAAGGCCATGAGGCATTTGGTAACTTGCTCTTCGCTGCTGTCTGCAACATAGAATTGCTGTTGCCTGGAGAGAATGTTTGCTGTGTCCATGGCAACAGAACACGTATTCCGTGTAAGTGAGCCACAGAAGCACATGGAAGTGAAACATTAGGCCTCTTTCACCTCCCCGCTTTGGACACTAAGCGATTCGAACCCCAGTGCTAGAAGCTGCTGCTCAGCATTGACAAAAGTTAAAATTGTCAAAGGAAGTTGTCCCCTTTTCCTCAGGCATGGCGGGTGCACAAAGAGATCCACGCAAATGGAAAATGCCTGGTTGGAAGATAGAGCAACAGTACTCCAATAAAGTTCTCATTGGGAACTGGGTGGAGGAGAGGCTGCAGGTAAGGTGTGTTTAGTCTGCACTGCGGTTCTGTTTATGACCTAATGAGATCTAACTTCTCCACCTGAGAGAAGAACCAGACTGGTTTATACATTTTTATACAGCTACATTTTAAGGCCACACTTGATTTGTGTGGGAAACGGGCGATGAAGACTCTGAGGGGGAAGTTGCACACAAAGATCACCAAGCAGCAGGCTTTTACTGTTTTCAATAAGTTTGTTTAATGTGCTGTCACTCCTGTTCTTGACACTTTGCAGAAACTGGGCTATACAAGTCTTCTTTTTTAAAATTAGATTTAAATAATGGAACATTGCCACAGTATTATCCATTAACAGAATGCTTCTTACTGTTATTAAGGGCTGTACCAACCCAGAGCGCATCCCGGAAGCATAGCTTTCAAGACATTAAATGGTTTCAGACCAGTGGCATTGACCTATGTAGTTATGAAGTCATTTGAGAAATTTGTTAAAAGGCATTGTACTCCACCAGGTAGAACACCAATGGATCCCATGCAATTTTCCTTCAGGGCTAATAGAGCAGTTGAAGATGCTCCCCTCAGACTACAGAATCTTTGATGTTTACATACTGTATAGAAGGTCCTAAGACACATGCCAAGCTTTTATTTATAGATTTCTCATCATCCTTTAACAGCATTAAAATACACTTTTTAGTGGAGAGATTATTCTTAAATTTTAATCTAGACTTCTAATCTTAGGTTTTTGACTAACAGGTCACAGAGAGTGAGAGTAAATGGTTTTATATCAGAGTAGCATTGTTCTTCTACTAGGTCTCCTCTGTGCTGTGTGCTATCCCCCAACCTATACGTTCTGTATACAGACAGCTGTAGAAGCTGTTTTGAGGACAGAAACACAATTCATTACGTTTGCTGATTACTTTGTCGTTGTCAGTCTCCCCCAAGATGTAAACATTGTGGGTTTGTAGTAGATTATTTTGTTTATTATTGGTGTAAGAAATCCTTCAGCTTAATTTGTCATCATAGAAAGCAACCACCAGCTGAAAAGCCAACAGTCATTGAGGGGCAAGAAAGTGAAATTGTCAACAATATCTTGACGCCACTGTTGATTACAAGCTAAGTTTTGAGGAAAACATGGATGAGCCAACAGTGTTCTTCCAAATAAAACCCAGCTCATTTAATGTTTGTACTGCAACAATGACTTTATTCTGTTGAACTTTCACTGACTCTGTCCTAACATTCACCTCAGGGGCCTGTTTCGATGACCTTAATGCATGAAATAAAAACAAACTTAGCAGGATTGTGAAGGTAGCCAGCAAAATAATTTGCTCACAATAGCTACAGCTTTCAGACATCTAGTCAAACAAATAGTGCAGAAGGTCAAATTAATCATTGACTGTCATGACCATCCTGTGCGCAGTGAATCTGTGCAATTAGATTTAGACTACCTAGATTCAAAGGAATTATAATATTTTATCCCAATGGCTAAAACTGTCATTAAAATAGACATTTTACTACATTTTCTTACATTTTTCTACATTTTACTTTATTATATTATTTATTTTTCTCATAATACACGTATGTCTCATAGGTTTTTGTTGTGTTGTGTTCAGTGTATTGTGGATTGTTTTAAATTAAGTAAATTGGAACTTCAGCCTAGCCAAGAAACCAGTAGTGGTCACAATTGACTGAAGTTAAAGCACACGTGTCCAAACAAACAGAATCAGTTGAAAGACAATTATTAAGCTAGCCAGCATTGTGTGTTTGGAAGGTGGCTGGAAACTAGATTACTGGATAAAAACTCATTTGAGTACAGGTAGAACTTGGAAACTCCTTATAAAACTAACTGGATTGCCACTGTGCCACCTACTCTAGTACTATTATAATGACTATTTCTGATTCTTCTTTTTTCTTCGTACATAATATTGAATAATTTTAGAATTTCAAACAAGCTGTTTGCCCCTGGTGTGTGGCATTTCTCATTTTGAGGTTTTTCTATTTTTTTATTTATGCCTATGTTGCAGAGAGTCTGGCCAAAGGGTTAATCTCAAGATCAAAGCGTAGGACTGGAAGTACTTAATTTGCTAAAAATAGTTGTAAGCTGCAAGTCGACATCTTTTTGCAGTTATTGTTCTGACAGGGACCCTGTTTGGGTGGATTTTGTGATTGCCCAATTACACATTATCAGATGGGCCTCTGTTTGTATTTACATTTTGCGTGTCACAGTTCATTAACCACCCAATGAGCACATATGTGGAATTTGAGTTTACCACATGAGGCACGGTTAATCTGTCCTACAATTATTTATATATATTTTAAAATAATGAACAGTTTCAGTCCAGTGGGCTAAAGCGTCTTTGAAGACTTTGCACAGTGTGCTAATGGCAGGGTTCCTGGGAGGTCTAGCCCACAAATATGGTATTTCATCTTCGTTTATGCATGGCAGAGCCTCAGTTTCCTCTTTGCCCCTTCACACACATAATAAAAACAGCTGGCGGCTGTGCCACTAAGCTGGCGGTAAAGGTTTTTTTTTTGATTGAGCAGACATTCCAGTCCGTTTAGAACTTGGGCAAAAAAAAAGATGTTTTGGAGATGTAATGTAAATGTGTTGGGGTGGCAGCTTCATTGAGCACACAGTGAAGCTGTCATGTTGCAGAGCTCCTGTTCCGCTCTGTGCTCTCCACCTGCTTCTCCATGCTTGTTTCGTACAGTTCACCAAACAGCCTCACGCTGCCAGCAGCAGCCAGCGATCCGACTACCTCCCACACCGAGACAGCAGGCCTGACGCTACAGTGAGGAGAGCAGCTCTTCGGAGAGGAGAGGTCAGTCCCCCCCCCAGCGCCAGACCCCAAAAGTTGCCTCTTGTCCTCCTTTACAATTCCACTCATTCACATCACCCAAGAATCCATTCTCATTTTAAGAATCCCATGGGTATTTTGTCCTGCAAAACAGTCTAGAAGAAGCTGATTTATTTAGCTCTTTCATAACTAAAATGGTTGGTACAATTCACAATTCAAACATCCACCAGGTTTCCAGAACACTAAAGCCACTACCCCTCATTTTTAAATAAGTGTTAGAGTCTAAATTTTGTACTGTACATCCAGTCACTCTAACAAGACATGAAGAGACACATGGGGGTTTCCCTGTTATAAAATTCTGTTTCACAGTCTATGTGCCTGTGTGTTACAGGGCCTTCCTCAGAAGCTGCTACTCTCTCACCACAACCCTCCTCGCTCTCACTACCTGGTTTCCCTATATGATGAGGTGTACAACCGCAGGGGGAACTCCACCCTGCCCCCCCTTCGTTCCTGGAACGGGGACAAGCTAGCCTGGGTGCCAGAGAGGACTGATCATCCTGCGCAGGGTAAGGCCTACCATGTGAACAGTTTATCCTTTGCCAGGATTCAATGGCCATGGCGCCACACAACCTGGTGGCAAACGAACCAATCCGCTGAAGCTAAAAAAAACAGTCACATGACCTAGGGGGCAGGCAATACCTTTCAAGATAGTTAATGCTGCTACTACAAAAGGTTCATATTGAATGATCCCTGCTACAGGCGTACCAGATAGTCTTTGCTGCCATGGATATACGTAGAGCTCACTCTACCCTGGAGGCAAGCTTTGGTTACAATTCAATTCAATTTACTCCCTAACTAACTCCCCCTGTCAAATAAGCCCCAACAAAAATACAGAGATGCTCTGTTTTTCTTGTAAATCATATATACATTGATACACATTTCCATCCTTCCATCTTCTAACCACTTCTTCCAATTCCTAATGCAAGAAATTGTATGTGGCTAATAAAGTGATCTTATTGGGGAAGTCAGTGCCAGTCCTGGTAAATAATGGGGGCAAGGCAGGGTACACACTGAATGTACATTACAGGGCATGCACATGCACACACTCATGCCAGGGTCAAAATTCCCAGAAGCCAACTAACCCACCAGTAGGTCTTTAGACTGTGGAAGGAAACCGGAGCAATCGCCCACACCGTGCTGCCCTTATACACACTTTCAAATCAACTAAATGCAGTGAAATTGTGCTTTCTTGTCTTTAAGCTCATTGACATTGCTACTGAGGTTCCTAAAAGAGATTAGCACAAGAACTTTGTTTAAATCATATTTGAGTACTGTGACATGTTTTATTTTATTTACCAAATTACATACGTTTGAAAAATGAAAATCTATGATTTATTGTGTATAACACAAAACAGGATATTTAAAGGGACATTAATGGACACCATCCAATCCAATTATTTCTCTGTAAAACATATTAACAAAATCACAACTACCGACTACGTCTAATTAAGTATTGTCTGCACTGTTTTTAACTCTTTTTAAAAAAAATAGAATACCTTCTTCCAAAGCTGTCTTCAAATCCATTTGATGTTTTTTTTCGTCGGTTGAAACTTAGAAGGTGATTAAGAGAACCACTCAGGATCACTCATTTCAGATCTTTCTGTCCCCAGCACCCCCGACCAATTTCGGGCTCCTGGAATCACAGCTCCCTAGGTGGGACAGAGAGGGGGCCCCCCTCTTGCTTCAGAGTGTGTACAGGAACTCATATCCCCACCACCCCATCACTGCCTTTACTCTCCCTCGGTTTGCCAGTGCTCCCCGGCAGTTCTCCAGCCACCTGCACCCCACCAACAAAACCAACAAAGACCTGAACCTGAAGGACCGTCCATGCCTTCTGGTGCCAGAGAATACCCTCTGCCTGTGACCAGCATCTGGATGTGGCCTAGACATGCAACAGCATTGCTTCTAGGAGAAAAGCACCTCCTTTGTAAGCACCCGATTTAGCAATTAAATACACTATTTAAGAAAACACAAACCCATTCTAAGGTTCCTGCGTATCCCATGATGTCTAATAGGGTGTCTTTCATACAAAAGCAGATATCTCTCTTTTGTTAAAGCAAGAGAATAAAAACTCGCCAAACATTAAAACGTTATGAAGAGTGGTAATGGGGACCTAGTAACGACAATATCAGGAATCCAGGGGAAAATTGCTCAGAACGTGCTATAAAGCAAAAAAAAAAAAACAACTGTGGATGTTATGTGAAAAAGTAGTTTAAGACTTAAACCTTGACTTCAAAGCCTTGGGCTGTAATTGAAGGTGGCTGTGAGATGGTCTAGGAGCATTTTAGCTGAAAGCTCTGTCTCCCCTTGAAAAGGTAATGATGCCCAAAATGTTTCTCACACATCAGCTGTTATACTGTCGGCTCTTTGTGCTCTTATCTTTCCTGAGAGCAGCCATAGCAGACCAGCCTCTAGATGTCAGTACTGCCCAGAGTGTCTTTGTGAACGTTTATTTACGTTCACAGCAGCGCTTCTAGAGGCTGAACAGATGATAAAGGTGCAGGAGGTGACGGATTAAGGGAGCAAGCTGAGGGAAATGAAAGACTTCTTTACCTCCCTATGAGTTCAGTGATTAATTCCTGAGGATCAAAGGTCCATATGCTGGTCAGTTCCAGGCCTTTCTGTCCTCCCGCTGTCTGTCAGCTCACTCAGAGCTCTCCACCTGTCTCTTTCTGGCTGCAGTTAACCATGTGTGTGATGCTGCTTCAGTTTGGAAGACTTCAGACTTTTCCTCATGCATTAACTAGGCATGAATCATCTTGTATAGATATCTACCTGTTACATTTTCGACTATAGGTGCTACCTGGCCTGGCTTTATAGTTATTGTTACCATAGTTCTTTGTCCCAGCAGTAACAATTAAAACATGCATAAAACAGTGATATTTTTGTTCAAAAACAAGATTTTGAATTGATTTCATCTGTAGGTCAAGAATTCTAAGTTACATTTAGCACTGTATTCAGTTTGAAAGACTGAAAAAGTAATTTTATCTCATAAAAGATTGACTGTGCATTTCTTCACCTTCTCTGTCTTTGCAAAATTTTAAATTGTTGAATTTTAATGTTTTGTTATTGTGGTTTTTGTTTAGCTTTGTATTTCCATTTTTCTTTCTTTTTGATATGGTGGAACTGGCTCAGCATGCGAGTGTAACCTAGCAACAATCAATTTGCAGTTATATTAAAACTTCAAAAGACTAGTTAGAACTGAGAAGTTGTGTGTTTGTAACTTTAATTTTTGGTTTCCTTTGTGTGTTAAAATAGTATTTGGCTTAAAAGTCTCTGAGTAGAAATAAATGATTAGAACACAGAGTTTTCTATTAACCAAATGTTAAAAGACAGATGTACCAAGAACACCACAATCCATAGTAAACTCCTTTATTTCGTCTGCAAACACTTCAGTGGTTTAAATGTTCTTGTTCCACACAAGCTTCTGCAGTAAGGTCAAGAAAGTCAAATCTGAAATATTGATATTACTGTGTGTATGTCTATTTTGTTTCTGCTTTATGATGAGCGATGTATACATCGCTCATCCCATTTGTAAAGATGTTTATCGCAAAATGTTATTACAAGGCACAGTATCATCCGGGCTTCTCAAGAAAATTAAAAATCACTGGGGTCTTTTTTTCTAAATGACTTCAATTAGGCACAGTAATTAACTAACGGTCATGTGCCCAAGTGGATATGCAGAAACAGCAAGCGCAGCATAAGAACTGAAATGGAGCAGCACAAGTGGTTTTTTAAACTGTGCTGTTAAAAATTAAAAGCCAGGTATCTTTCATTCTTTACAAAAATGTAAGAAACTGTCACTAAAATAGCTCCGTTCCATACAATGAAAAAACTAAGGTGGCTTCTGCACATGGTATTACATTTCTGATAATAATTATTACATCATATGATAAAGGACTGAGACCGTGAATAGACAAATCAGACAACCATGGAAACACTAACGTGGAATGTGTGCAAATGAGGCTGCTATGTATTATAGAGATAGTTTGCTATGTTCAGCCCATCCTTGTTATTGTACAAGCAGTGAAGTGAAATGAAGCAGGGCACATTTCTTCATTTATTGTGGGGTTGGGGCTACTCTACTGCTAAATGAAAACTCATTGTGTAATTTACAGTAAGTCTAAGTTGAACGTAACTCTACATGTTTGTATGTTGCACACATATGCAGCCTGAAGCCTTTCCAACCCCCTCCACTCAAGAATTGTACTACAACCAGCTCCCAAATTGCCGTATCGATCCTGCTGATTACAATTAGGAATTGTGAATTGGAGCAAGTTGTAGCCAGTTGAGGTGTACTGTTGTGTGGAATCGCAATGATTTCTGCAGCTGACCCAGCTCCCTCATCACTAACACTCAGCCCAAACTCAACAACAACCTCACTCCTGCTCCTAACCCTTAAATTGGACCCTGTCTCCAATGCTAACCTTCACTCATACACAAGGCAGCGGCTGAAATCACAATTGTGCCAAGCAAATCGCACCACAGCAAATGATGCGTTTCAGTTAAATGGCTAAAATGCAACTGTTGTCTCTTCTAGAAATGCTAGAATAAAAACTTCAGCACCCAATGTCTAACAATGGCATGAAAAGGTTTACTGTTTCAATGCATGCATAGTCACAGTGTTCAGGCACTATACTGTATTTTATATATTTTGGTTTGTTTTTAGGAATTATGGTTATATGTTTTCATTTTCCATAATTCTTATTAGCTTGATATTTTGCTGTGATCCCTACCAAGAATAAGTGACTTTCTGATAATGGATAGATAGACATTGATATTGCTATTTAAATCTATTTTAGAGTGAGTGTTAAATGAAAGATTTTTGGTGTTCATGCTGAAGATGGGACACTTTCAGCTGTTTAAAAGAAGGCTGTGGGTTATGGGAGTAGACATTTAAGGTACATACATTAAACTGAACAGCTGTGGTCAAGGAGGAGCAATTAACACCTCCATTCCGTCCATCATCATCAGCTCAAGGCTCAATATAGTCACACAGGGAAAATAGCTGAGTGACTCACAGTATCTTAAAATGTAATTAACAAAATGCAATTTTTATAAAGGAAGGGTAGACAGATCCTAAATAAATCCCTTGATGTCCCAAGGTTTGCAGTGTATTGCATAGAAACTATGTTTTATATTTGACATTTAATCAAGTACATCAATGTACTGTCTTTTTGGTTAAATAAAAGTACATTGGTTTTTGTTTCATACATTTTATTCTAATCCCTCCTGCACTTCAAAAATTCAGCCCTATGCATTATAACAAGACTGGGGGTGGACTGGATTTGCTTTTCAGGATTGTTTGAAAATTCACATACATTTTTCCTTCTCATATTCATGTAGCTTCTTATTTGCAGACTTTCTCACATTCTTATATTCAAAAGACTGTTGAGCAAATTTGTCTTTCCATTTTCATTCTAGTGAATATTTTATTTCATCTTTTATTACATTAAAGATGACTGCAGCTGAATGTGTATTTTAGCACTTTTGTATCAACTTAATGATGTCTGTGCATTGATTACTATTGCATATCCATCTAATCTATAAAAGCATCTTCTGATCTATTTAACCTTATTTGTTGGCTGTGTACCACTGAATTACTTAATCTGGAGAAATAATATCTGAATTTAATCTTTTCCTAAGAGTATGATAATTTGTGTATGTAGTTTTATCTTTCTACAGCTTCTTGAGAGCAATTAATTTGATTGGGAGATGTGACCTAAACCTTTGAAAACAAAAGTTTATTTCAGAAGACAATGAAGGCTTTCAATATTCTCCAGGCAATTCAGTAATGCTTCTCTTCTGTCTTTCTGGCCAGCAGGTGTCTCCATCACAGCAGGGATGGTTTCAGATCAGTGCTTCATCCATAATGCTTGTCCAGTTTGAAGTCATGTATCCATGAAGAATTATGACAGCCAGTTTTGACACCCAATATAACTTCATGCTATACTTGTGTAGTGTGTGTGTGCACACTTCCTGGACAACAAATGTAAATTCCTCTGTGTCTTTATCAAGACAATCTGGGCAAATAATTAAAGAAAGAAAATGGAATTCTTGGATATGCTGCATAAATTGTGCAATTCAAATCATGGGAAGTTGATAAGGAACTCAACACAACACTACAGGTTTAGATCAAACAACTTTATTCAGACAGTTTTGAAGAAAATGTTGAATAACATGCAGTAAGGGGGAACTATGTCCTCAGCATGAATGAAACTGAACTTCAATTTCAAAAAGGCCTGTGCATGTTTACCAATGTTTTAGTCTCATATGTAAATTAGGGAGGCTGTGATGCCAGCTTTTGCAAATGTGTTCTACTGTAAGCACTAAGCACTGTAAACCTAATGAGATACAAGCTTGTGATCATTACCTTCTAGGTAACTGCTATACAAATCAGTGATACATGAGGACTATCAAAAGTATGGTACATTGATTAAAAATAGCAGAAATAAGGATTTTATTATAGAGAAACCCAATGTTAATGTTGTTGTGTCATGCCACATTTTAATCAATTTTACTGCCTTTGGACACTTATTTTACGGGGCCAGAATATTTTTATCAAGACATGTTGGTCAGTGTATCTGTCCATGCAGAAATAAAAATGGAAAACCACAGAATGCATACAGCTACTCATACAATGCACTACAGCACAATATAGATGTATAGAGCTCCTTTAGGGAAAACACTGGTCTTAAGGCACATGTCTTAAAGTCAAAAGAAAAAAAGTAAACTTGAAACAATGTCTTGAATTCTCACAAATTTCCACATATTAATTACACCAATAGACACTGCGCATATAGCATGCAACAAATAAAATCCAGAAAATACAGATGTTCTATAACTTAGTGGTACTCACACATGGCCTCAAGGAATCCTGGGATTTCTTTGACACTATCTAAGGAGTCCCCAAGAAGATAAAGTCACCCCCAACCCCATGACTAGTTCCATGTTTAATCAAGAGTCTCATTCAGTGGCCATTTTTCTGCAGTAAAGCTTGTGGTGGATCTGATAACAAATCTTTAGGATTTTTTTCCTTAGGAAAAACAATATGTGTTCTGGTTTCAAAGGTTAAACAAGGGGGACCTTAGTTATTATTATCAATTACCAATCAACATGAAGAATAAGAATAAGAATAAGAATTGCCTTAATAGAGATAATTTACTTTCCAGAGATTACTACCACCAGAAATAGTTGTGAAACTACTACTAATTTATTTGGACACTTTTATCTATAGTAATTTGCCAGCATTCCCATATGGCTGGCACTTTACTGCAGCAATGAGGTTAAATTACCTTGCTTAAGGGTGTAACATCAGTGTCCTACATGGGATTTAAACCCACAACCTTCCAGTTATAAGTCAAGAAGCCCAACCACTACTCCCCTACTGTATATCACCTTGTGATATAAACAACTTTCTTATTTTTATGTCTATTTTGTATCCTCAAGGAGTTTATTTTCCTAAAACCTTAAGAATTCTGATGACATTTCAAAGAGTAAGAACCGTACAATTTTCCCAGTTGTGTTCTGTTAATGTTAACAAATACAACCTGAAGCTTTATTTATCCAGCTTTTTTTTATCCCAAAACAGTAATTCTACAAGTTTCAATCTAAAAACAATTTTGCTCCCACTGGTTTGGGTTTGCAATATTGTAAAGAAAGCTTTTCAAACAGTCAGGACAGGCTTATCTAGTCTCTGCATTATTAAAGTCTTTTCTTAGGAAATGCAAGTTTTTGATGTGCGTGTGGCTCCATCCAGTTAGTTATACCCAGGACTTAGACATTTCTACCCAGGTGCAGTTCTTGCTCCATAAATAAGCTTGCCTGTTTTATAAGGGAAGTGCTTAGCGAACAGAAGCAGGGTATCTGATTTGCATGCTATCTCATAAAAAACCCAGTTCACTGGCTTCTCTGTAGCGAGATGCAAATACCTGTGATTTTGGAATGCAGACGAAGGAAATGTGGCTTTATTGTGTCTGTCCTTAAAGAATTCCATTGCTAAAGCAGAACTTGAGTAAAGTTACAAGAGCAACTCAGAAGAGAAGTTGGGTAAAATTGTAGCAAATGTGATGATATATTTCCATGCCAAGGGAGCCAAAGTCAATCCATTGCAAAAACACTTACCTTGCGAAATTTAACCTGTTGTCCTTACTTTTATGTTTCTTGGAAGAGGCTTTTGCAAGTCTGGTACTCAGGCCACAGGGTTTTTAGATCTGGTTTGAGATCTTTGTTTTTGTTGGTAGAATAATACCTAGCAAGACAGTAAGTGATGTTGCAAGCTGACTGCAAGTAGGATTCTCCCAAATAGTGGTGCCCAATTGTCACTATGACTCTAGGGATAAAACTGGGATTAGCGTGGTAGGCTCTTCTTGCCTTTAAAGCAACCAGCAACTGCTATAACTCCCCGCCTGCCTGTCAGCTTGCAGGTCGCATCAGAAAGAGATGCACCACTCCTCCAGTCCGTGCCAGCTCTCCTGTCGGGTTCTGTTTTCACTGTTTCAAAAGATCAACTCATTTCAATTCAAACTTTTTCAACCCCTGAGGGAAATTTGTTTTGCAGCAGGGTTCAACACAATAATACAAACAAGCATCACCAGCAAAGAATTCAGGACAAGCATTATTTCAGGAAATGAAATAATCCATACATCCATTTCCTAACCGCTTCAATGGACGCAAGGCGGGGTACACCCTGGACAGGACGCCAGTCTACCTCAGGGAAGTGAAAGAATCATGTTGCATTATTTAAGATAGAAATTATAGAGGTGACACAAGATTTCCTGCAACATTTTTGGGCACAGAGGCTTCTCCTGCATGGGAGGAGCGCAAATTCACAGTGGAGGGGGTGTGTCAGGGCCGCCACAGGGCTTCTTTCAAACCCTAAGTTTGTCAAGTGTAAGGTTGATGCGATCTACTCTGGTGATTCTGATGGTTTGGTTGGAGGAGCCCATTCTCAGGTTATCTCTGTAGCACGGGTGTTGTTGCTGTGAGCCAATGTGCTACAACACAATTGAAGATAATAGAAGATGGTTGTATAAGAATGTGCTATCTTTCTTTTTCCTTAATTAGAAGTGATTTAAACAAATTTACAGATTTAAGCCCTGCATTGCACTCTGTCCTATCTCTTGGCTAGGTAATGTGGAAATTATATAAATAAGTTTATATAAACATATAAATATATAGATATCCGGTCTTCATTATGTGGATTACAAACACTAGTTGCTAATGCATCACACCAAACAGAAGTAAACATGATAACCCTCCCCTTGGCTAAACTACTGATTTCAATTCTTAGTTACTTTGCTCAATTCTTTTTTACCCAAGGAACACTGGAACACTAAAAGAACTCAACATACAAATTGAGTTACGTACAAATTGCTGTCAATATAATTACCAACTTGTGAATACATTAAATGTAGCAAGGTGTTTGAGTTCAATAATATGCCTTTAGTTTATATCTTTATCCAAAGAAACTTGCAGTTAACAATAAAGTTGTATTTTAAATGAATTAATAATTATATAATAAAAAATAGAATATTAAGTAGTGTGCAGCAATTATATGATGCGATAAATTACATAGTGAAGCATTGCAATAAGTCATACAGCTTAAGATACATTACAGGCAACCACAGTAAATTAGTTACAGGATTACAATAGCATAAATTTGAACAATAAACATGCAGCACAGAAATAGTTCGGCTGAAGGTGCTTGTGATCTGCTCTTTTAATTAATTCATGTAGGAGCACAGTTTTCAACTTGTTCCAACAAAATCTCTGCTGATGTTGTGTACTGCAACCTGTGAAGCACAGAAGTTAATTAAATAAAATAAATGACAAATTGCAATAAAACTTGTAACACTGACAGATAATGTACAGATAAGCACTACATGGATTCTGAGAGTGATTTATTTCAGTTTCAAAGTCTAATTTTTTCTATTGGGCTTTGTATTTTCACCTACTAATTGGATTTAAAGTGGCATCATATTTGATGGGGGTTAGCTAAATGAGCAGCAGTACTGCACATTTTCAATCACATTTCAAACACTCTCACTGATTTATGTGCTGACATTCCTCTATAACCTAAAGCAATGTGGAAAGGGTGGAGCCCCACAAGCGAATATAACAAAATCTTTCTTAGTACTGACTACTTTTATATTTGTACATGAGCTCTGCTCACAGTAGGCAGACACTGCTTAACTAAAATGATATTTAACATGCACAAGGTTTTATTTATCTATCACGTACACCTGAGCTCCTAATGGTTAATCAAACAGATATCAAGCCAGCTTTGTGACATTTATAATTCATGTCATCAGTGATGTGTGGATCCAACTGCTTTATGTTTCTTCATATGATTTAGGATTTTTCTGACAGCCGCAGGCTATTCACAGAAACTTGCTCCTCAGTGCACAGTTTTTCATGATGGTGTTATGTGAATAAAATATGTATTTTGATAATAAGCTCATTTCATTTGCCATCCAATAAACTAAAAGTACTGCAAGGACTAACCATAAGAATCAGTCTACAATACCTGTACTCAGTTTGATCTGCAACATCTGCCCATTTTTGACAGTTTGTAATGCTTGAATGTTAATGATGCCTACTTTTCTGATGTTGCCTAACTGTTTGATAACTGTTTCTCTTCACAATGGCAGCTTAAACGTTGGGCATTATTTTGCTTCAGAAAAAGCTAAATATATAAAACATTAAAACAGAACAAACCTAGCACTGATAACCCGTTGCTTATGGTAGCACAACATCCATTTCCTAAACACTTTATCCAATACAGGGACACAGGGGAGCTGCAGCCTATCCTAGCAAGCAACAGAAACGAGGCAGGATACACCCTGGATGGGACACCAGTCCATGGCAGGGCAGGTACAGACACACAAACATGTATACCTTCACACAAGGGCCAGTTTTCCCAGAAGCAAATTACCTTACCAGTATGCTTCTTGGCTGGGGGAGGAAAACAGAGTATAAAACAGGAACCCACAAACATGAAGACAACATACAAACATCATGCTGATAGCACCCCAGGAACTGGGCCCAGGGTCTCAGCACTGCAAGGCAGCAATACTGATCACTGCACCATGGTGCCACCCATCTTGGATTTAGGATGTATTAAATCCCAATAACCCTGATTTAAGAAAATGAACTATTGGTATTGAATCCCCTCACTTTCTCCTTGTTATAATTCTGGGGTTTGAGACATTGGCCTTACAACAGTTGGTGCTACTCAGAAACAGTAGTGCCTACCGATATCTCATCCCTAGGGAAATCAAACCAGCACTCTTGCATAATGGTTTCTGCTCTCATTAAGACATGAGTGAGGTTCATTCTCCCATTCTCCCACAGCTCCAGACAGTGTGATCATTACGTTTAGGCTGTATGTCACTTTGAAATAGGCTTTCCATATTGATAGTAATGGCTCAGGAAGGAGGGCCCCATTTGCCTTCTTCCCAAAGCTGAATGAATAGCAATTTATATGACTGTGTGCAGAAAATGGTATGGCATTGTTCACAAACAACATATCCTCCATGTGTTGCTATTATGCCCCTAATTGCTATTTGTGCCATTTGCACCTAGTATACGTGCATAGTTTTGTACCTAAATGTTATTTTTAAAAAATCACACACATGCCATTTAAAAAGACACAGTTCAAAAGCATAAAGTTAAATTGAAAAATTCCAGGTAATGGGTACATTTTCCCACTTGGAACTAATTCATCACCATTAGAAAATTGCTTCAATTAGCTTTAGTTCATTCTCAAAACTATTAAGATCAATATTTAATTATTTTTATAGTGTTAATTAAGATAATGTTACAAAAAGTAAGTTACAACCAGGTTTTGGAATATGAGGGGAAAACTATGATAAAGAGACATTTTTTGGCATTTATTTTGCTTCAGAAAAAGAATGTATTAAAGTACTTGTTTGAAAATTAAGCATCGAAAGTCACTTAAATTATTTGCAAGTACTGAAAATGATCATTTTTCTAGAATTAACTTTACAATAGATTAAGAGTACATTAGTGGTATAGTGGTGATTAATTGTATGAAGCTATTTGACATATAATCTTAGGTCTTTCCACAGCTTTTTAATGCAACAAAACTCATTTAATATATCTTCAATTATACATTGTGCTTATAATACTGTATCTTGCAATTACCTCCAAAACAAATATCTCTGAAACCATTCTCAGTTACAGTAATACACTTCTCTGAGGTGATGGTTAGACTTTATAACTACCTCGTAAATGACACATTAATTTAATAGTACTGATTATAACAGGGCTTTAAAAAAATTCACTGGAGTTATCCGAGAAAGCATTCTCGTGGTATAACAATTTAACGTGAAACCTGCCTTCTCCCCTGGTGCATTCTTTTACAGCAGGTTTCGAGCTGATCTTATTCAATTTACTAGAACATAAGAAAGGCTACAAATGAACAAAGACTATTTGGTTCATCAAGCTAGTTTGGTGGCTAATAGCTAATTGATTATTTGCAAGTACTGAAAATGATCATTTTTCTAGAATTAACTTTACAATAGATTAAGAGTACATTAGTGGTATAGTGGTGATTAATTGTATGAAGCTATTTGACATATAATCTTAGGTCTTTCCACAGCTTTTTAATGCAACAAAACTCATTTAATATATCTTCAATTATACATTGTGCTTATAATACTGTATCTTGCAATTACCTCCAAAACAAATATCTCTGAAACCATTCTCAGTTACAGTAATACACTTCTCTGAGGTGATGGTTAGACTTTATAACTACCTCGTAAATGACACATTAATTTAATAGTACTGATTATAACAGGGCTTTAAAAAAATTCACTGGAGTTATCCGAGAAAGCATTCTCGTGGTATAACAATTTAACGTGAAACCTGCCTTCTCCCCTGGTGCATTCTTTTACAGCAGGTTTCGAGCTGATCTTATTCAATTTACTAGAACATAAGAAAGGCTACAAATGAACAAAGACTATTTGGTTCATCTAGCTAGTTTGGTGGCTAATAGCTAATTGATGCAAGGCTCATATCAAGATGTTTCTTTAAAGAAGTCAGGGTGTTAGCTTCACTACATGTTCATGTTTCCAGGAATTAGACCTGGGTGGCCCGCTCTGTGTTTCCACTACTTTTTGTGTAAAGAAGTATTTTCTATTCACTTTTTAAAATGCACATTCTTATATTTTCCTCTTGTGTCCTTCAGTTCGTTTTCCCTGTTAAATCTGAAGAATTCCATTGGGCTGACATTGTCAATATTCAGTGTGGAATGCTTCAATGTTCCCCTATAGACTACTCTGTGAAAGGCTAAAAAACATTGAGGTTTTTCAGCCTGTAAGGACAAAACATTCCTTTTTGCTTAGGTATGTACCTGGCCACTTTTCTATGGCTTGATTCCAATATCGTGACCAAAACTGTACACACTATTCTAAATTAGGTTTTACTAATGCATTGTGCACTGTAATTTAATTAAAATATGAGGTGCTGAGATATGACTGAAGGCAAGTATTTCCAAATTACACAGGCTGAACTCTTGTTCATCTTCTCATAAGGTACACAAAAAACTGTCACAGATAATTCTGCAGCTCGATTACTTTTAGTAGTCATTTATCTGAAGAAGACAAAATTGTCCATTTGCATATTTTCCTGGATTAATGAACACATGGCCCTTTAACTGTACAGCTATGAGAGTTTTACTCTGAAAAGTATTAGGTTTAAAGTTCTGTTGTGATGCTCTACTAAATGTAAAAGTTTTTACTTTTATGTAAAAATACTATTATTCATTGGCTAATGATACAATTGCTAAAATCAGTTGTGTTTGTTATGCTATACAGTATAAGGGATTTGTTTTAAAGGATGGAGTTATACAATTAAAAGCACTATGTTAATTGACTTTCCAAGTACTCAAGAACCTCAAAGGCGCTGACAAAGTCAATGCAGATGTGAAGCAGATGACACAATTGGAAACTAGATGAATATTGCCTTAATATTGAGAACAGGAGTATTTTTTTTACCCAAAGGATTGTTGGAGTATGGAACAGGTTACCCAGCCTTGTGGTTGAAACCGATACCCTGGCTTCTTTCAAGAAATGTCTGAATGAGATTATTGGATCAATAAGTACAAAATTGGGCAGATAGGCCTTCTCTTATTTGTATCCTTTCTACTGTTTTTATTTATCATATTTTTATGTTTTATGTTTGGGAAATCAATTTCAATTCAAGGCCAACAAAGCAATCTTCTTACCAGTATTACACTAACCAATGCCAGTAATATGTATTATATAATTTATTTGGGTCTTCTAAGACTTTCTACAAACTGCACATTTTTGTTCATTATTCTGGGCAATCAATTTGCCATACAACTGTTTTTAAAAGCTGTTTACAACTAAGAATGTTTAAAAACATAATGTATGTACAATTGGTAGCTGTGTGCTTTGATAGAAGTTCACTCCTATTTGTGTTAGTTATATTTTTGAAAATACAAAAATACTTAATAATATACATCTGAGCTCCAACCCGTAAGAAAAAATTGTGCTCTAATTGGACTGCCCAGCAGCATAGTTCATTTTAAAACATCGATACCACCCTTCACACAAGCATGCCAATGAAATAAAGATGAAAGCAAGGTCTTTTTAAAGTACAGCTTTATTTTATATGTAGAGAAGTAAAAGAAAATACAGTCATTGTAAATGAGTAATTTTACAGTAGTTACAAAGCAGATGGAATCTTGGTGTTATTGGGTGAAAGTTGTGGATATGCCCTGGTTAGGATGCCAGTCTGTCTCACACACACAATTATTAACCAGGCCAGCATCATTTTGGAAGTTATGAGATTGTGCAGGTATCTTCTGGAGACATACTCCATAGCATGAAGTGAATGAGAACCATATATGATGCAATTGTGAGCTTTGTTTTCTCACAACTGAATCACAAGTGCCTAGGTTATTAGATGCAGCATTTTGTAGGAATATGAGTAAAGGCAATATTTTGGAAGAATTAAGTAAATGATAAGCATGCATGATGATAAGCGAGAGGTGTTACATAACACAGTGAAAAGGTACCAGTACACCTATCAAACTCACAGTGGAAGACACTGTGGTGATCCAGAAAGAAAGCGTGAGGTGAATTGTACTGATGTGGAAGCAAGACCAGTAGTCAAAATCTTGCTGAAAAACTGAAGGGATGAGGATGGATTTCAAACGGACTACACAAAGAAAAATACATTTCTGCTTCCTTGGGTGGAAGCTCGGGGATGGAAAATAGTTTAGGGCCAACACAGCACCAGCTGGACTCCAATCAGAAAGGGAGAATAATACGGGAGGAAACCTGTCATCATAGCAACCTGGGTCGCAACTGAGGAGCAGGCACCATGGATGGTGATTTCAGTGAATGAGAAGGCCTGGACCCAGTGCAAACTGGAGCTCTACTCTCAAACCCTCAGTGCAAAGTGAACATAAGCAAACAGGAGGGCTCCTATGAAATCAAAAAGTAAGCCTGGGGAAAGGGGAAAGGCAAAACAGTGAAGACAGGGCATGGACAAAGTTGCATTACATTGGATGCTTAACCAGACACTGAGAGTAAAAAGAGTGATTAAAGTTCCAGGGATGATGAACAAATTCAGGAGAACTGAAAGAAGATGGAGAGTAATTTGTTTTCTGTGGAGAAAACAAGAAGACCTGCTTGATCAAGAAGAGGAGAGAAAGCAACTCCTATCCTGGATAAGAGGAGGTAACTGTGAAGGTAAGCAATGTTGATTGTGAGAAACATCTGTCTCCAACAAGAGTGAAATGCAAAAGCTAGAAATAAATGTGACCAGAATTGTGGGCAGAGTATTTACATTTTATGTAATAAATGGGAAGTATGGGATTAGAATTTTCATTGCATTCATCCCTTATTAATAATGTTAATGTGGTATTTGTGTTTTGAAGTGCATTATAGTCATGTTCTCACAACAAGGTTTAAAAGCTCAGGACCTAATCTGAACCTATTGGAACTGTTAATGACTTATTAATACCATATGTAGCCACTGTATAGACAATATCTGAAACATGGGACTGACCATTCAAACAACAGAACGAACACCCACTAAGACAAAAAAAGAGCTGTGTAACTGTTTATTGCATGTTATTGTATAGTTAATACTGAAACTGAACCTGAAACTTAAATTTCATCATCATCATCATTATCCTGGATGAGACTTTGCATGCAGTATTTTGCCAGCAGCCATGTCACCCTGCAACTCTCGATTGGCAACCCACTGAAGGTGTAAACCTGGTCAATACCTGGATGGGGGACCTCCTGGGAAAAACTAAGCTTGCTACTGGAAGAGGTGTTACTGGGGCCAGCAGGGGGCGCTCACCCTTCGGTCTGTGTGGGTCCTAATGCCCCAGTATAGTGACAGGCACACTAAACTGTAAAAAAAAAAGCTGCCATCCTTCGGATGAGATGTAAGACCGAGGTCCTGACTCTATGTGGTCATTAAAAATCCCAGAGTGATTCACAAAATAAGTAGGGGTGTTACCCTGGCATCCTGGCCAAATTTCTCATTGGCCTTTACCAGTCATGGCCTCCTTATAATCCCCATTTATGAATTGGCTTCATCGCTCTGTTCTCCTTCCCACTGATAGCTGATGTGTGGGGAATGTACTGGTGCACTATGGCTGCCGTCGCATCATCCAGGTGGGGCTGCACATTGCTGGTGGTGGAGGGGATCCCCATTACCTGTTAAGTGCTTTGAGTGGAATGTCCAGAAAAGCGCTATATAAGTGTAAGGATTTATAATTACTAGTACTATGGCTGCATGAAAAACAATAGAAAATACATAAAATGTATAACACTTATAATCATTTATTATGTATACCAGTTTTCATTAAAGAAGAGTGGAAAGACAAGCCTTTTTCCATTTAGATATATGTTGTATTTTAAAAGTGACCTTGCTTTTTTTCTGTTCCAATGTAACACTGATAAACTAGCAAGCTACTGTATAAACCCACAGAATTAAATTACTTTAACGATCATTCAGTAGAAACTGAAAGCCTTCAAGGGGAAAATATCAAAATGAAGACAGTGTTACTTGAATGGTTTATGCATTGTACTAAAAAAGATCATTATCACTAAACAAAAAGAATGTGATATTAATCAAAACAGCCCAAGCATTAGAAATCCCAATCACATTTCAGTCTTTACTAGGAATCTAGATGTTCCATACATTTTACAGCCCCATGTTATTCCATGATTTGTTTTAATCCAGAAACTGTAGTGAAATATTACTGCTGGTAATTGTGGTCATCAACGCTGAATCAAGTAGTATTATCTGACAATGCGGGCTACGCTCAGCTGTTTAACAATGAATGAGTCGGAAGCACATAATGATTGAATTATTTAAACATATTTTCGTCGCTAGCCACTAAAATATTATATAAAAGCTATAAAAGCTTTTTTCCAGAGGCAGCCTCTGTTCTTTAATGACAACGTTTTATTTGTGCTCTTACCCGTATTACGGAGTGTATTGCTACTAAAAATACCCTAGTTTTCTTAGCACAAAAGTTTCGTAAAAGAAACCGATTTTAAGACTTTTCCGCCGCTCCTCGGTGCGGTCTTTTTACTCCCCATGAAACAAGTAGATTAGTTAAAATGCTAGCCTGTGCAGGGCTGGTTCTGACGACCTTGACAGCCTTAGGCAACTCTCGTTTGGGTGTGCAGGTCATCAGCAAAGCTGAGCAGCCTGTTTTGTAGTCTTTCGTGCACAATTAAGAGGCTCCATTACCTGGTTTCCGTGGAGACGAAAGCAGAGTTTAAGAGAATGGGATCAAGTGCAGGGTAAAAAAATAAGTATAACCATTAATTGTGGACTGCATTTAAAACTTCTTTTTCGAGCTTCAAATAAACGGAAATCTATAATTGAGACACAAATTCTTCAAACTCCTAGGTAGTGGGGAAATATTCAAGAAATAAGAAAGCGATGTTCCGAGTTTATAGGGCACCAACTTGCACAACGTATCAGCAATACATACAGCCTCAGTTTCATGTTGCAAGATTAAAATGTGCATCATCAGTACTGCTACTAGTATTGTTATCACCGCCACATCCTCCGGCATCATCGTGGAAATTAATTTAGATAATAGTTACAACATTAAGTTATGCTACTTGTGAAATCAAGCACTCTGTATATGCTGGCTATTGAAAGGAGTTTCAATAACTCAAGACCGGACATGGTCTTCATGTAAATAATTATACTTTACGATGATTTATTTAACAACTATTCACGGAATCGTAATCGATAATAATTAAACATTTTAGTCGCATACAAATTACTTTACTGATGTTTGCAAATCATCTTGAGCATAATTTACACTTCATGTGGAAGTGTTTAAACAATGGTTTGAAGGTCATGTCATGTTCAATTTAGTTAGTTGTTCGCAGAAATGCCATCAATGTTCCACTATGTTTATATCACCACAATGGAATGCAATTTCAAAAATAATCTATGCGCATACTCTATACCAAAATTGTTCTAAGTCATGTATATTTTTATGGAAAGCTCAAAAGCGTGACCCTGCTTCATACTGCGTCATATTCAGCAGTCCTATGATTGGTGAACAGATAGAAGTCTGCTTGTATTGTCTTCCTCCTTCATTTGTGTTGAAAGAATCCAATGTGATAAACTTAATCTAATAACTAACTACAAATTAACCTCTTGCTAAATGGAGATGCACAAATAAACTCCGTGTAATAAGTACTTTGCAGTATGTATGGAGGATAGCACTTCCTTAAAGAAATAAATTTGTATATTGCTTCCCATTACCCATTATTTTCCAAAAGTGCATTGATAGAAACTGTTGCATGCTTTTCTATCCCGAGTAACACAATTTACAGTGGATGATTATATGCAATTCTTATGCTCTCAGTCAAATTCTTATTAGCTTATTTTATTAAAGAAATCCCATTGCACCCAAAGCTAAGTACTAGAATGAATTACTTGAAGGGGCATTTATATATTATTTATGTCTTTAAAAATGCACAGATTTAGCTGTATATGAATATGCCTGCCTTACATATGACCTCCCAAGATCAGATTTCTAAAAATATACTTTCAGTTGTGTTTTTAATATAGTCAGTGAATGGATGAAGGCGGTATAGCACAAGTTTATATGAATTTATATTTATATATTTATGTGAATCAAACATTGACTTTTAGATTACCTGGAGAGGAATAAAATTAATATCAGCTTATAATAAATAGAAGTTGTATCTCACCCTTCCCGTTTCCTTCCCTGGTATTAATGAACCTCCATTTTCTCATACTGGGGTCTGCAGAGTTCCTTTTTCAGGAAGTACCAGGACGAAGGGAAACAACACTCCCTTAGCCATAGGGAGAACTTTCAAGTCATCTGCCACAAAGGCAGGAGACACCTCATCAGCGAGAAACCTCATGGTGAATTGCCGATTGACACAGTAGATCACGTCGTCGATGGTTGCGCACTGGAAGGCCGCACAGCAGGGGAGACGCTTGGAACAGCACTCATACCACAGCCTGGCCATGGCGTGGTAACGGTAGACACTGATACCCAAAGAGGAGTTGACATCAAACCGGTAGATGAAGTTCCTTATAGCCACCATCTCTGTGGCTCGTTCCTTGGTTCCTACGATCAGGCTCTCCTTCCACGAGTTAGTTTTTGGGTTGTAACGAAGGAGACTATATCTTAAGGTGCCGCCAGAGACAAAGAGCTGTCCATTGCACGCTGTTGCTTTATGGGCCACAGCAAAAGTGTCATTGGGCAAAGGGGCTACAAAGGTCCATCTATCCATACGGGGGTCATATCGCTCCACAGTGTAGAGGCACTCTCCCCCAATGGCATAAAGGTAGCCTTGGAGGGCAACTAGCTTGCAGTGGGGTCTGGCTTCATTCATGGGACTGATTTCTTTCCAGATGCCTGTCACAGGATTGTAACAGAATACATTTTTGGATGGTTTAAGGTCTCGTTCCAATCCATTGCAGCCCACTGCAATGAAGAGATAATTATCCATGGTACACATGGCACAGCCTTTGGAGATGACCTCTTTGGGAATGCTGCTCAGGGGATGCCAGGTGTCTTTGTAGTCATCATAGTAATACAACATGCTTGACGTCCTGGAAGTTTCTGCCTTGCTCAATTTAGGTCTCATCAGGTCTTGAGGGTCCATGTCAGCCACGATCAGGTACCGCCTGCCCTTCATTCGCAGCCTTTGAATTTGGTCTCTTTCGTCTGCTTTCAGCCTCCCATACAGTTCTGGATCTCTTAAAACTTGAAAGTAATTGTCAGACATGACTTTAAAAGCTGCCTGTTGGAGGTCTTTACGCTTATATTTTCTGGCCAAGCTGAGGGCTTGTAGGCAGTTACCCAAGTCCAGTTTACACTTGAGGCCTTCCAGTTCAAAAGTACCTATGCTGTCCTGGGGCATTTGTAAAAAATTGGCTCCAGCTATCACTTCTAAGCTTGGCTCAGGAAACATCAAGGAATCTGGACTGGAACACAAGTCTTCTGATGAATCTGTTCTCGAGTCAAACTCACTGTTCACTGGAGTGGATGCCCTTGCCTCCATGAAGGGGATCTGGAGGTCTGAGTTCTCAACAATCTGAGAAATGCTCTCTTTTCTGCTTAGGCCATGCCCCTGTCTCCCAGAAGACTGGGGCAGAAGTCCAACTGGACTTAAAGGAGAACGAGAGTCTTTATAACAGAGCTCAGAATCTTGTGGGAAAAGGGTAAAAGAGGAGTCTTGTAAAACATTGTCTTCACAGCTCCTGCGTGCAGGGCTGAGGAAAGTTGAGTGATAGGCACTATCCCCTGAGATAGACTGGGAGGCAGATTCCACATAATAGTCATAAATCTTTCCACGTACCTCCATCAGTTCGCCTCCAGGTCTCCCTAACAAGAGGTCGCCATCTCCTACTGTGATCTCTGCCTTGGACTGGAAGCTGAAGTAGGAACCTGGGTGCTCCAGATTTTGCTTGAGCTCTCGACCAACACCAGAACCAGGCTCCAACTTCCTTAACAAGAGTGGAGAGCGACCTCCTGCTGGACTTACTCTACCTTGTTCTTTTGCAGCAGGGGGTGACAAGGTACCACTTGGGATGCAATCAGCAGACTGCTCATGAAACTCCAGAGGACTGGAAGTAAATGTTTTCTGTGCACTGTCAGAGCTGTTCTCTTCCACTGTCCATTTGTTTGTGCCAGTGCTCAGCAGTGCTGAAGAGTGTTTATCTATGACACTTTCATCAGCTGGATCCTTAATTGGGCTTGTGTCTCTTGGCTTACTCTCGATGTCAGGTTTATTTGCCACCAAAGATTTCTCTTCAGCATCCTCAGCTAGGTTTTTCTGGCGTGGACGAAGCTCTGAGTTGCAGCTGATGCAGGACCCTGAAGAAACATCTCTGTGACTTTGTTGGACCATTTTTCCATTTCCCTGGGCTGATCCATCTTGGTGAACAGTGAATCCCCGAGAACTGTAGAACTTGTAAGCCCAAGATATGAGCAGCACAGCTGCCACAGACAGAGACAGCTTGCCCAGCAGTTGCATGTCGAACTGAACACCCAGGAGATCAGCTATTGGCATTTCCAAGCTAATCTGGAGCTTCTTAGTTCTCTGTGTTAATAATCCTATTTGGCCGATGGGTGGGAAGAATTTTTGTAGACACTCACTGACTTGCTCTCTCTCAGTCCCTCCCTCAAGTTTTGATTATCTGAGTTCCTATGCTGCACGTCTATGACCTTCACCTATCCTCACAGAGAATAAACTAAACCTGACACCTGAAGGATCACAGGTTTTGTTTAATGATTTGCATTCCTGAGCCTACAAGGCGGAGTCTAGATCACATTCTACCTCCTACAGGCTCTGTGTTTAATATATCTTTCAGGAAGCGAGAAGCAGAAGTTTGTAAGTAGTGGGGGTGTTGCCATCTGCAGTTCAGTAGAAAAATCATTCAGTGCTTTTTAACAGCTAGTACATCTAAGCCTTGCCCTGAAATATCAGCTTTCTTTCTCATTCACCCACAAAAAAAACCCTGCAGAACAAATGATTATGCAGATTAAAAGTTTTGAATCAGTTTCATTTATTGTCCTTTTTTAAGTAATTCACTGTTGTGAGAAGGGATTTGAATTTTTAAAGTCTCATTTAATGACTGGTAATAACTCTCTTACCATGCCTTGGAGGCTGGAGTCTAGCTAATCGGCACATTCTTATGGCTGTGCAAATGTGTGATTGTAATACATTAGAGCTGTAGTTTGCTAAAAGGGAGTGGATTGCTGAAATATAATATTTAAAAAGCTCTACTAACCCGGATATGGTAATCTGTAGCTAACAATACTGTAAGATAAGCAGTCATGGATCCTGTTTTCTAGTGAGGCACTGCATCTGGCATTTGCTTTATACCATTGTGTTAGTAATACAAATAGTAGCCTCTTGTCTGCACTATTTGCATTTTACATAGATGTTAACACATTTTAGTTTTGTTGAAATATAAATTGCTTCACAAGTTTCTTTATGTTCCATGAACATATTTTGGAAAATTAATTATATTCTTGGACAACCGTGGTATGGCACTGTATTATTATGGAAATGCAGAGTAGAAAAACACTGCACTATTTGTTTTTGTATGAGTTACAGTGAACTATTTTTATAATGCATGTAATCATGCAATAATCAATAGGAAGCATAGTTACTGTATCTTCTACATTTGCAATCTATAAAAAATTGTAACTTGGTTTATTTGATGTTTTCCCAGATGTGTTTAATTTCAGTTGTTCAAGGTCAATTGGTTTGACTGTACTAATGGGTTATTGTATGTTTTAAATTAGCAGCGATTAACTTCCTCTTGCCCTCTATTTCTGTCCAATTAAGAGCTGGGTCAGTGAAAGTAACACAAAATGCTTATAAAAAGTATTAAAATGTTTTCCTTTTAGAGGCATGGCCATGCTGGAGGTAGCACAGATTGATGACCCCTTAAATTCAGGAACTACTTTTGCTGTGTACTGACTACACCACCTAGCAATAACAGAGGACCCTTCTTCCTTTGCCACAGGTTCTTTTATTTTGCAGAATCATGGGTAAACCCACAGACCAGACAGTTGGTATTGCCTTGGTGCCCATTTTATTCCTTACCAATTCCAACACCTTGCCTACCCATTTCATAGCCTATAACACAAAATTCTTTCCAAGGAGCACACATTTCAGACCAGCACAAGTACCCCAATGGCCCCAGTTACCACAACAAATGGCCCAAAGAATGCAGTCCAGCAGTTCTGTCCTCTGTGTAGTTTCTTCGGTGGTTCTTAGGCATCTTTTTAAGTCCCAGGTGTGCTGAACAATGTGTCCCTGGTGTTGTCCCTCTACCCTGTTTGTTTCTGAGTCCAATTTAGGTGAGAGGGGGAGAAAGTTGATGTTGGAGTTTCCCTTCTCTGTGCTCAGTCTCTAGTGTTTGAGTTGAGTCTCATCCTGGGTCCAGGATCTTGCAATCCTTCCTTTCTAAAGTCCTCAGCTCTCTTCCTGGAACCTGTTTGAAGCCCCTTTAACCAGGTTTCTTATGTCCTCTTTGTCAGGGGCAGGTGTGTCCAGCTGATTACAGGAGGAAGCTTGGTGAAACAATATGGGTTGTGTGAGGACTGTCACTATGCGGATTTCCGGGTGTTGTGTCATCCCATTAATCTTTTTTTAGTTCCTGCTCCCCTCTGCCCATGGTCTGGTCCAAATTGATTCAGTGCCACCAGACACTACCACATTAAACTGTGGAAGATGAACACTCTGCTCCTCCATCCTTCTTAAGTGCCTCCTGCCTCACTGTCTGCAGTTGAGAACTTTGATTATGGGGAGAAAATACAAAGGAAAAAGAAAGGAAAAGGACAAACACACCAATACTGACACTGTTGGCATGTTTTGACAGATTTCTTTGGGTGTCTTTGTAACACATGTATATTAAGTGTTAAGAACTTATGCTGGTATTTTAGATGGTGAAGGATCAATATAAAGCATTAGCAATCTGTGGTTTCATAAAGATGGCATTGGTTGTGGTGTGTCTCAGTATTTGCTATGAAACGTTTCCTCCTTCACCTGTACAAGCACAAATAGTACTAGTACAAATGCATAGCCTTTTTATATTTTTTTGGAACTGTATTAGTGATGCACCCATAGGCTGACTTTTAAAGTACATTATACGGTTACAGTATATCTGTTTTTTAGGGTCTGTGAAAGGTAATGTTCAGTAGCCTTATGGGATATACTGTATGATTATAGGTTTGTGGAACCTTATTGTTTTGTACTAGTTTATTGGTATTTTATATACTGAGTTTAAGATTCAACTAATGTTACATAAGTAATACCATAAATATACCTAAAGTGTGCGTGTTTGTGTATTTCTTTGGGATGGAGTACACTAAAGGGTTCCGCAATTCTATTGAAATCCTAAAAATACAGTGTCTGCCTCTGTTATTTTTTTGTAAAATAACCTTTATTTTTTAGAGAGGAATGTGCAGTCTTGTTAAGAGGATCACTTTATATGTTGCCTGTTTTATAACATTTTGCTGTCTTATTTCCACCACTGGAGTCTCTTTTCATGAAGTGACATTAACATTTTAGATTCTATCCTTTTTTTTAATCTCTGACCTGATCTTCATGTGTCAGACTGTATCTGGATGGAGAGGCCGATACCAAGCCGAGAAAAGATCAGGAAGGAAGAGGTATGGTTTTCTATTTCAATTTCTTTGTGGTGATGTTGCTGAGCTGTCCCACTTCTGTGCATCCTTTTTTTAAATAAAATTTCTTGAATTTCCATACAGTCATATAAATTTGAATCCCTTAGGGAATATCACAACTTCTCTTATATAAATGTGGAGAAAGAGGATGTTTCCATGCTAGGCAACTCTACAAGTGAACAATTACAGCTCTTTAGTTTGAGTTTGCCAGCCCAATAATGTGGTTTGTCATTAACCAGCTGGGACCAGAATTCCTTAAATGACCGCACACAATATTCTGAATCCTGCCAACGCTGTGTGGGCTTGAATTGGCTGAAGTATCCACAGCTCACCACACAAGACTGAACCCTTGACGTATTGACCACCTACAGCGTTTCAGGTTTGTAGGGAAGAGCTGTGACACTTTTGTACTTGGTGCTAAAATAAGTTCATGTTTTCAGAAAACCATGCCCCTGCCTCCATTCCTCAAGTGCTGGTCCAAAGGTTGTAGCAGGAAAGCTGATGATTCCTAATTGATAAAACTGTATAAAAAGAAACAAGTGGTTTTAAAAAAGAGGCTTTCGGCTATGGGGTGAGGGGGCTGTAATCCAACTGTGACTGTGATTCCCCAAGTAGTAGTTTTCAAGCAAATACACCCCTGTGACTTGCAGGGTAGTAGGGTGTCATGGAGAGACTCTTACTGTCCTGTAAGGCTCTGTGGAGCTTGGAGCTTGCAGTGCATCAAAAGACAAATAGTGTTGATAGTTGTGTATGTTGGGTCATGTCTGCTTGTACTCATTCTTCCAAGGGGAGAGTTATAGCTCATCAGGAGTTATAGCTAAAAGCCTAGTCTTTAACTCAGTAGTGAATTCCAAATTGTATTAATTTACAATTATTTTTACCCAGTGACCTCAATCATGAAGCAGACTTACAGTATATCTTGGTTATATCTTGAGTTGGTTCCTGCTGTAATAGTTAGAGAGACACATTTACAGTAGCCTAGGGTTTGTGTGCATGTGTTTTCTTGCAGTTTAATATCCAATTAATTGCGTACTCTTTGCCTTTGGTCAGTGTCGACACACACAGCTGGTATATGAGCAGAAACAGAATCCTCAGAAAACAAGACAGAGATAAATATTTGAGGGGTGTCATTTCTAAAGCAGTCACTGTTTCGTCACTTGATACCAGTCTTTTAATTTAGTAACAGGAGCCCAGGTCAGTAGGTGCAATGGGTTTTGAATAATTGAAGCACTGGGCACAAAGGAGCTTCTGTGTTTCTTCTGCTCCTTATTTTGGAAATGTAGTTTGGATGACAATAGAATACTTCAATTCCTCTGGATGCTTCTCGCTTCTTAATTGTAATGTTCAGGTCTAGTTATCAAAAACATTTAATAGTAGGTGGTGGGACAATAGTCAAATACATTTAATATTTTTTTTAATGGAAATTATTGTGAAAAAAGAAAAACAGAAAGCTATCATTTTCACTGTTTCCATTATTTTGACAAAGTAATCAAAAGTAAATTGCCTTTATATTGTATCATGTGAACAGGTGTTTCCTTTTAGATGCTGGTTACTAAATAATATTAACACTATGACCCATTGTATTTTGTTTTATCTGCGACTGCACAGTCGTTACATTTTAAATTTTTGTCTGTCAGACAAAGCATTTTGTCTTGCCCCAGTACTATTGATTTTGTTGTGACTGTTATACTTAGTGGCAGCTGTGTTTTTGAAATACGGTATGCATTTACTGATTCATAAACTGTGCAACACCGTCAGTGGATCATTAAATCTACAAAGAAGGATGATGTACAAATCAAAAATGGTCTGTCTTGAAACCCATATGTAAGAAAGACCAGACACCCCTCTGTGGTCTTGTGGAGTTACAAAGTCTTGTGGTTTCTCTTGGGAAAAAGCTGTCAGGAAATTAATGTATCAATTCCTAGAGAGATCACCAGATAAAGCTGTTGTGTTGCCAATTGTCTTAAGGAATAAGTATGGACAATAATGATAAATGCTTGATACTAACTAGAGGTAATTTCAC